AAAAAAAAAAAAAAAATTAACTCAAGCTTATCCACACAAAAAATTTTACTGATTGAATTTGTTCAGCCCAGAAAACCAGAACAGATATTTTGCACTCCACACCTCCAAGAAAGAAAAACCTGAAAGAAAATCAATATCCACTTGCCTTAGTAGAATATTCTTTTGGGCATCCCATGTTGATATCAATACCAGCTACATCACTCTCTCTAAAAAAGAAAGAAACAATTAAAATATTTCTCAGCACATTAGAACAAGAATCAAGAAATAGACATCCTTCCAGGAAACTTTTTCTATCTTCTTAAGGCTTAAATTAAAATTTAAGATTAAGCTTTTATGTGAACTGATGAATTTTTAGCTTCTCACTTATGCTTATATAAGCTATGTATTTATTTTAACAGCAGTCTGAAGATCAATCTGTCTGCAGGCTTCAATGACCTGTGTTGTGCAGAAGCTGCAAATAGTCATCTTAAATATGTTTATACAGGACTAAGTATATGTAAATATATATACCACTAAACTCACCACTGTCACTAAAGCAAGTCCTATTGAGACTTCATCTATTTAAAACGGAATCTTAAAAACAACTTTTAAAAAGGTTTGAGACACACTTTTCACTTCTGCACAGTATTTTATTGGGGGCTTCAAATCATAAACAATAGGAGACATTTTCAGGCATACTGGTCTTACTTGCAGCTGTGCAACACACAAGGAGATTTCATACTGGAGAGATCAAGGACACACTGCAGCAGCAAAAAGCCATAAATCCAAGTATAGAACTCATGCAGCTGCTGTTTTGAGAAAGAATAGATCAAGGACACACTGCAGCAGCAAAAAGACATAAATCCAAGCATAGAACTCATGCAGCTGCTGTTTTGAGCAAGAACTATTTTAAATAGAAGTTGCAGTTACACCATTATACCACTGGCCTTTTGAGATGCTACACTTTACTGTGGAGCTCCTACAGAACTTTTCTTGGTCCTATCAAGACCTACCTTGATCCTCTCAATTATAAAAAGTTGTCTGCCATGATAATTCCTCTGTATAAAAAACCCCATACAAACCCCTGTGGCAAGGGAGTGAGAGAAGATGACTTACACAAGCTTAGCTACTGCCAGGGCTCTTTCAGCATCTGCTGATCCCTGTCGGTAAAAAAAGAGGATATATAATTATAAAATATCATCAAATTAATAAAAAATTTTCTCGCTTGCACATGTGTATAACTATATTTGCTCTAAACATTTACTGGAAAGAGACAGAGACCCATTCACCCATTGGCGGCCCTGCATATGGCGGGGGGGTTGAAACTAGATGATCACTATGGTCCTTTTCAACCCAGGCCATTCTATGATTCTATGATTCACAGCACAACAGATAGCTAAAACATTCAGCAAAAGCACGTACTAAGTCAGACACTGAATGACAAGAAGTGATGCAAAAAAGGATCTTGGGAGGCCTGTCCACTCTCCTAACCTACAGCAGTATCAAATGTTCTTAGCCCATCACCATTAGATATTTATCATGTTCTTAAGCAGCTCCACTAGTAACAATTCTACAGCCTCTACAAGCAACCTATTCCAGTGCCATCATTACCACTAGAAAAGGTCTTTTTCAATATCTAATGCAGTCCACACTTCTCCCTCCCTCCAACCCCCATTATCGCTTGTCCTACACCAAGTGGTATCAAAGAACAAACTACTACCTTTTTCTCTCCAGCAGCCTTTAACACATTTGTACAATGCTAATGCACACACTAATCCTCTCAGTAAACAGTGAGACTGCTTATTGGACAGTGCAAGACTTAAACATGCGATCAAACATCAGCATAATTTATTTTTGATATAGATATGTTTGGAAATATATCAAAAATACTTATTACAAAAACAAGCTGCTGTCACAGAGCACAGAATTCATCTTAATCACCTCTTCTGAAAGCAGCTGTACAGAGAGCTTATAATGTAGCATCTTGACTGCACGTGTAGCAACAGGTTAGAAATTCTGCAACACATTTGGTGGGGAATTTTACATCCACCTGAAGCATCAAGAAATTGATAATCTGCAATATGGAGAGCTGCTTTAGACTTAGATCAACATTACTAGCACTACCTTGTTTAACTATGTTGTTATTAGAAGAGTACCCGGAGGTGGTTTCTTACCATCTGAAAGACAACACAGTGCCTCTCCCTTTCACAAGTTCTGAAAACAACTCTTTCATTAGGTGCAACAAAGTCCACTGTTTCAAGTACCTCTATATGAAATGAGAAACAGATAAAACAGACAAAAATTATATACAAATGTAATCATAGTCATATGACTATATAACTTGTGTATAAATGAAATGCTATCAAATAAGTCTTCCATGAACAGCAGAACTAAGGGCACCTTAACCCCCCACATGTCCTTGCAATACATTTCTCGCACATTGCTGTTTTCCTCCCACAGTATTCCCTAATCATCACCCAGTCTGTTTCTTAAGCAAGCATCAGGACCAGAAAACTCTAATAATTAATCAGCCAGAATGAACATAACAGTATCATTTTGGGAAGGGGCAGGAGGGGAAAGTAGATTTGTAGTGGGCTTCTGTTCTCCAACAGGGATGCTACAAACAACTGTTTCTCATGCCACTTGCCTGGGGAGGTCTCAAAGATATCTTTTTCAGAACTTGTCTGTGAAAATCATGTGAGGCCAAATCTAGCCCACGGACCGCAAGTTGATAAAAGAACAGTAAACAGTGAGATCTTGTATGCCTCGCTTCCTTATTGCCTTAGACTAAAAGGTGCACATATTATAATGTCACAAACAGTTAACATTTATAAAGACTCATAAGTGGAGACTGTCTCTGAATTTGTTTCTCAGACACTATCAAACTTTTCTTGAAACATTTAAAGGCTTTTTAACTAATATTACTCGTTTTGCAAAGGAAGTTACATTTTATATTAGCACATACATGTGTAAAATTTCAGAGAAAAAACAAAACAAAACAAGAATTTTTTACTGTTTATTCTTTACTATAATAGCATACAAAGGCAGTAGAGAAAGAGAGGCTGAAACCAGTATGTAGACACAGAATTAAGGCGGGTTATCTGTTAATTAAAGTTTTATTATTTGTCTGTTTAACCCACATAAAACTAAAAGCTTTAACATTTTAAACAATGCACTGGAAATGTAATGTCCTGTTTATTCCAGGTACTGTTTTCTTTCACCTGCTGCCAGGAAGCATAATGGTGAAACATTAGTGATGGATTTCCAACACTGGTCCCCTTTTCCTTAATAAAAAGAGAAAGACATAATTCCAGAGCTAGAATTACAAAGTCTTTCACTTTAGAAGGTGTACACCTGCACACCCAGTGACCTGAATTCTGTCAGAGTTCAACACAAAACTCATCGAATCCTTGTAATAAACTTAAGTCAGAGGTGAAGGAAGACCTTAGGTTAGGGCCCTAAGAAGAATAACAAACTGTCAGTTACTCATACATTAGTGCTACCCTTCAAAAACTTCAGTGGTTTTCCTAAGGGACACTGACTGATCTATTGAAATTCCTTAAGAAGGGAAACTTAAAGTTTGAAACTGTAGAGCAGCAGAGAGGTTTAAGGTAGAGCTTCAAAAGACCATTTTAAGTCTAAGACACAGTTTAGAGAAATTATATGTACTAATACCTCATGGCAAGCACTATAACATTACTTCAGAGAAATAATTATCTTTCTATTAACTCAGCAAAAAATGCATAGATATTAACAAAAGAAACGTTATACTTGCCATTTATAACCCTCTTACACTGCAGCATCTTTATGTCAATCAGCTCCTGAGAAGAAAGAAAAAATATCTCAGTGAGTTGAAGTGTTTAAGCCACTGAGCTCTATAAACAATTGCCCATTTTATTAAGTAAGAATAAGTGTGTAGAGATACCAAATACAAAAAAGAAGTAAATGAAAGCAAGAGTTTAACTGTACCACACTTTCAACTGAAGTTTCAAAATACAAACAGAACATATGAATACAATAAGTTTGCATAGTTCTAGAAGAACCATTTTGCTCAAATACCTATCTAGCAAGCAGCAAACAAAGCAGAATGAATCACCTAGAGTGGAAGCAAAAGACAACTTAATATTATAGCAACAGACCACCCCAAGAATCAAAGTAGGTTGGTAGTAGTTTAGTCTGCTATGGACTCTTTGTTTCAGCGAATAAGACAAGGTTTAAGATCTCTTGATTTACAGGTAAGGGATAAACAAGCAATAAATTAGGTTAATCTTAATTTGCTTACAGTATACTATAGGTCTTATGAGTAGTGCTTTTAAGTTTTTAACTAATGTTCTTTATTAGTTAAGTTCTGAAACGTTTAGTCTGCTATGGACTCTTTGTTTCAGCGAATAAGACAAGGTTTAAGATCTCTTGATTTACAGGTGAGGGATAAACAAGCAATAAATTAGGTTAATCTTAATTTGCTTACATTATACTATAGGTCTTATGAGTAGTACTTTTAACTTAAGTTTTTAACTAATGTTCTTTATTATAAATTCTGAAACAGCTTTGAGTTCTAAAAGGTTCAGGGGATGGGGAGATAGAAGGATGAGAAAACAAAAGGATAAGTCAGAAAATGAAGTTACACAGTGTAGTTATTTATCCTGTTCTGCTGCCAAACAATTGCAGTATAATTGCCTAAAACAACTGCTTTGTTTTACATTATCTTGTCGGTTCTTAAGAAACCCCACAAACATAGCTTCTCTAATAAAATCTATTAAGACAGATATCTTAACTGCAAACACTAATCTATGTCAAAGGCATGTTAACTCTGCTGTCTCCAAACAGCAATGTGAAGAGAAAAAAAAGACAACGTAGATGTTAAAGAAGCCCACACCATCTGGGTGGCTGACATTATCTCCATAGTCCAATCCAAAGCAAAGTCTCAGCCAGCAAAGTTTAAAAAATAAATAATTTATTCAATAATACAGCAGCAAGGTCAGTTCAAGCCAGGTGCCTACATAGAGGGAGCCCGAGTCAAGAAATTCTGGGGCAATTATACCCTTACAGACCTGCCCCTCACATGCTTTTCACATGACTTTTGGTCCAATTATGGATTTTGGTTGGGGCCTTTTAACACCTCACTGGATTTTTTTCTCTGTCTCTGCGCAGGCTGTTAATTTTTATTATCTTGATGAGTTACACCTGCTATTGATGGCTGTAGCCCTGACGCCTCCATATTTTCTAGTCTGTGTTTTTTTCAGCAGAATATCAGAAACTGCAAAAGTCCCAGACTTAAGATAAAAAGCTCCAGACTTAGCATAAATGCTTAGCCATAACCATAACTTCATTATGTTATCTACATTATTCTCACACTAAAAAACCCAAAACACAGCACATTGTATTGGGTACTACCCAAGTGGAAATTTATGGCTTGTGCCTCAGGCTTCAGCAAATCTAGATACTCACTAAGTAAAGTTAAGCAAATAGCATACTCAATCACACAACCTTACAACTCGAGCGATTTGTTCTTTTTAAAACTTACTTATTTAAGCCATACAACTAGTATTTAACAGTAGGAGACCTTTTTGAGATGAAATAAGGAAGACTACAACAGTTTTTTTGCTAGAGGAATAACTTTCAAACTACAAGTTTTGTTACATACTGAAACTTGTTACTACATAAGTTTGAAGATCTCTTCTTCTGAGGTACTGTTTCTCTAGCATTGTGGAAAAAAGTGTGTGTGAACAAGAAACTGCTTTAACTATACAGTTGACAGTGCTGGATTAAATAAATTCTCATACCCTGCAACATCAGCAGGAGCAAAGCTATACCTTTATGTGTGTGTTCTGTTATGGTGTTTTGGTTTTTTGTTGGGTTTTTTTTGTTTGTTCTTGTTTTTTCCAAAAACCCAACAATTTCTGCATTACTATCTTCTACTAATTCCCTATACAATGGCCCTGTCAAATCTGTGGTTGGTGAAATCCAGCAGCTGCTCAGTAGCAATGTTCTCTGCTACTATTAGGAAGAGTAAGAGATACTGGAAAAGTACAAAGGATGTCTGAAGCCTGACTCACTTCTAGTGTTAGACTTCTACATTCTTTAACTCTATACTTGTGATTTCTCTACACATGATCCACAGTTAGCCTCCCAGAGAATGAAAAAATACATATTCTCACTTAATCCCATGTAAAGGAGAGAGGTTATAATGCATAAACTGGGAAACTGTTAATTATTGTTTGTCAAAGAAAAAATCACCTGTTATACCTGATTTTATGACAGACATAACTATTCTATTGAATTTGGAGATTTCTTCTGAATCATACAGCAATAACTATTCTTCCCCATGGAGCTGGTCCAAATAATTAAATATAATTTGTAATTCTAGAAGCTAGAGGCAAAATGTGAGGCGTGGCCAAGATAAAAACAGCACATTGTCTCTCAGAACAAATCTTTCCTTTCTTCTCCCCTCAAAAAGGGCAGTGAGCTAACTCACAAGAGAACTGCTGGGAAGATTCCTGGAGAATATTGTAAACTACTGATTCTGACAGTTCATTTCAGGCTGTTCTGTTGGTACAGATCAAACATCCTCTGGGAAAGCCAGTATTTAAGCCGCATTTACATCATGTTTAACTCCTTTTTGCATTGTTTGGTTTTTTAAAAACTTGTGGCTAAGCAACAAGGACAGCAGTGCTGCGAGGGGTATGGATGGATGCTCTGGGTTAGCACAGCAGAACTAACCAGGCTGAGAGGGCAGGTCAAAGATTTCTTTCAATGTTATAACCCTACTCAAAAAA